TTTTTTTCGAAAATGTTTTGGTCTTTTGTTGAATTAATTTTGGCTTATTCTTCGATGGATGGAATATTCTTGGAGTCATAAATAGGCTTACCAGACGTCCCGGTTTTCCGGGATTGTACAAGATTTTTTCCGACTGCCATCTAGAAACAGGACTTTATTTAAAAAACTGTTCCTACAGAGAAGTTATTATTAAATCATTAACCATTTTAAATGTATTTACGTCACTGGTAGATTAAAAATACATATCCTGCATGTTATGGATATCTTTCGGGAAGGCCTCATTTTGTCCCGGATTTTATCTCAAAAAACATGGCAACCCTAGCCACAGAAAACATTAAATTAATAATAAATAAAACAGATAATCGATTAGAACAGATATGTTTGTTTCATATTTATTTTTTAATCTCGTGTTTTTCTTAATTTTGGTTAATGAATTTTACTTATGTTTTGCGTACTAACCGTAAATAGCTATCTACTCTGTGGCTTTGCTATGGCAATAACGTGATTTTAATTAATAGCTAATCCAATGCTAACAAGTACTGACTTAATCATATAATCAAATGTTTTGAAATACGGATAATAATGTATTAAAAATTGTAGCACTTGGTAAAAACCGCTACTTAGCAGTCAGACCAATTTTATATTTCTCTCTTGTATAGAACGTTGATCGGCGCCAAAACTTTTATGGAAAATCCCGTTTTGGGTTGAGATCATCGCTGATTTAAGAGGGACTTAAGTTATATTAGGATAAATAACAAGATAATCCCAAGATTTCGAATGTTTGTTTTATGAATAAAGTTATTTCACCTGGTTATCTTGCCGGACATGACAGTTTGTTTATTAATTAATAATACAACAATAAAAATGTATTTTTCTAATAAATTCTTTAAAAATATGTGAAAATAAATTACAAATTAGAATTCGAATTTATTTTTGTATAAAGTATTGCGAGTAAANCATCTCCGTTTCCGTTTCGGCTGCGGCTAAAGTAAAAGAAAACGACTTGGCACTACTTCTTCGGCTATTAAAAATATTTTGCTGATTATTATTTGCGGGTGCAATCTGCTGGGATGGCTCTCGTCGAGATAAATTTGAAAGACTAAATTTACTGCTGGAGCCATTCGTTGATGACGAAAATGTTCCGGAGTTCTTTTCTATAATAATAATATAACATTAATTAATATTAAACAATGTATTGATACATTTAAATTTTGTTTATTCTAGAGAGAGAGTGACATAGAAAAAAATATGTCATTCAAACTATAATTAAAAATTATTTATAACAAGTTGTAGTCTTAACTCAAGAATAAACGTTTCTTTTTTGAATTTCTTCTTTCTTGTTAACATAGAATTAATGTTTTAAGTAATAAATAAAACTTACTGATGATAATTTTACATAACCAAGTTGAGCAATAATTATTTGATTTTGTAAAGTTATGATTTGCAAAATTATTTATGATATAAAATAACTTTTACATCTCTTTTCTTTAGTCATAGCCTCCTAAGCTATGACTAAAGAAACTGCACATTTCCAGACATATACTTACATGTGTTTTTTTTTTTNAGTTGAGCAATAATTATTTGATTTTGTAAAGTTATGATTTGCAAAATTATTTATGATATAAAATAACTTTTACATCTCTTTTCTTTAGTCATAGCCTCCTAAGCTATGACTAAAGAAACTGCACATTTCCAGACATATACTTACATGTGTTTTTTTTTTCATTTTCCA